CAAGAGGTAGGCTGAGAACCTCAGGCCCCTGACATCCACACCAGCAGCCCTCACACACAACTCACTGTGCCCAGCCATCAGCACAGCTAATATCTCCCTGCATCCCACTTCACACAACATTGGGAAGATTTTACACGTGAGACAGTCCAGGAGAGGAGACAGCTTGCCAATGTCACACAGCAAAAAAGGGAAAGACTCCCAAGAAGCAGGCACTTCGCATACTCAGAGCCTGCATGGAGTGGCTGGCTGGGTTTCAGGTTCATGGATCTACCCACTTTTTGTGGTTCTCTTATGGTCAAGAGTTGGGGCGGGGGTTTCTGAAGTGGTCAGGCTGTCCCTGTGGTTTTACCAGCTGAGCACTGCCCAAAGATATCTGAGGTTAGTGGGGCTACATCCAGCTAGTACTTACCAACTTACAAGCCTGGCAATACAGCGGCTTGTACCATGGTCAAGTGGCCTGTGCCGGGCATGCAAAGTTGCCTTCTGAACAAGATGTGAGGTAACTTCTCTTCTGCACAGAGGCACCACCCGGATTAGAGAGTATCCTGGGAAGGTAGGTACAGGGCGGCTAGGGTAAAATCGCTCTCACCTTCTGGGTCAGTTCCACTGCTGCGACAACGTGGATTGCTATGTTGAGAAGGAATCTCAAGTCACAGTCAGTCTGGAAAGGAGCTCTGTACTCAGTGATTTCTGTCCTGGCTGGGGGTGGGGCAGGAGAGTATTTGCCATTTTGCTATCACTGCGGTAAACTGACACCTTCTGTGTCAACACACAGTCCAAAGGAACTCAATGCCTGCCTAGCCCTGGCCCAGAGGTGAGGCAGACCTCAGTGTCCCTGTGTTCTATCCTGTTTATCCCTGAACTATGGGCGGTTTCAAGAGGGTTATGGATTCCTTTGCCTTATAAATTGCCATGAGACATTTTCTTAAAGAGAGATAAGCAAAATTAATTCGCACAGGTTTGTCAAGCTTCCACTTCTTCCTCTGCTCATCTCTGCCTGAATTTCAAGCCTGAATTGAAGGTTCATTCCTCACCCCATAGATCCCTGTTTGCTCTTCTTTCCAAAGTTTCTCCAGCTTTTTTGAGCATAGTTTCTTGGTTTGAAACTACCCAACACCCCTGAGACCTGTTGCCTGGGCAACGTTAGGGGCACACACTTCCCTACGTGTTCCTTCCTGCTTGTAATCACCACTTCACATAAAACTAATTTTACTCGTATTGAAGTGATTGGTACCACCACTCCTCTACACACACACACACACACACACACACATACAGGACAGTTTATTCACAACTGGCAAAGGGTCTTCCTGTTTGTATTTGCATTTGACTCCACCACTCACTAACTGAAAAAGTTGGGGGGGGGGGTTTCTGAAGTGGTCAGGCTGTCCTTGTGGTTTTACCAGCTGAGCACTGCCCAAAGATATCTGAGGTTAGTGGGGCTACATCCAGCTAGTACTTAACCAAGTTACAAGCCTGGCAATACAGCGTCTTGTACCATGGTCAAGTGGCCTGTGCCGGGCATGCAAAGTTGCCTTCTGAACAAGATGTGAGGTAACTTTTCTTCTGCACAGAGGCACCACCTGGGTTAGAAAACTGATATTTACTGAGAGGGCATAGACCTATTCTTGGTCACTCAACTGGGTTTATTTTCTTCAAATCCTGGCCTCTCTCCACAGAACGGACAGGCTCAGCAGACAGAGAAGGGAGCAGGAGCCTGAGTCTCATGTAGGTGTTCCTTCCTGCCTGCGGTTTTGAGGGGAGTATGTGCGGTCAGAGGTGTCAACCAGAAGACTGCAGATGAGGACCAGCAGAGGGAGAGAAAGGACATGACAGCAGAGTAGGGGCAGGCAGATTCCTAGTCGGGCTTCCCGGGGACTCCTGAGCAATGCTGGGGTCCTTCGATGGGCCATGCTGTCTTGTGTATAAAGTAAGGGCTTGGGCCAGGACCTCAGAAATTTCAAGACATGGCTTTTAAAAAAAGATTTATTTTATTTATGCATGTAAGAATTGGAGTACAGGCCAGAGGTGTGGGGGAGTTGGAGGATTCACCAGAGACAGAGTGGGGAGCAGAACAGAGCTGGATTGACTGAAATACACTGCTGAGGGGGGCAGTGGGCAAGACAGGAGAGGTCTGCTGTGCCACATGGGTCACCTCCCTGGCCAAATCAAACTCGTGCTACAGTGGCTGTAGAGAGCTTCTCAGTGCTGAGACTTAACCCCTTCTACCACCAGGGAGGCCCCCTCAAGACATGACTTTTTAATGTGCACCTGAGGGAAGTGGGGAGGCACAAAATTTGGGCTTGACCCAGTCTTGAGCCTGTGGCAGCCAGGCCTCTGATATCCATCTGGTCACCCACACCCATCACCCCCAGCGCAGAGGATGTCAGTCAGCTGCTATTTAGGCAAACTGTCAGTGTCTCGCATGTACTGAGCACCTACTGGGAGAAAGCCCCATGTTAGGCAGGTGTGCTATGGGCAGGGAGAAGGAGAAAAGCACCAAACCAAAGAAGCCATTTAGGCTTCAGAAAGGAACGTAACCAGGCCATTCCTCTCTCCATTCCTTCGTCCGACCATCGACCTAGCAAGCACTTTTGAGTTGTCTACCTCTGTGTACCAGGTTCTGCTTTGGACTCTGCAGTGGGTGGAAGGGGCAGAGGTGATCAGCATGATGCTGGGGTATGACAAGCACCCTCACAGCACCAAATCTGTGAAGGAGGGGAACCCCAGGCTGGGTTGCATAGTCTCGGTCGTGAAGCACAAGAGCAGGGCTGTGTGGCCAACACTTTAATTCTCCTTGCGCCCCAGGACCACCTACTTATTGTCTTCTGTCTGCTTACCTGCCTGACTCCTAGAGGAATTTGAGTCTATAGCTCATACTAGGGGACAGCACTGCCACAAATGGGGCTACTCTCACCCAGAAGAGAGTAAGGGGAAAAGTGACAGAGCCCTGCGCTGGGCTTTTGGGTCAACCCGGGACTCCCCAATTGCCTGCTGTCCAGCTGAAAGATGTCGCCGCTCTGAACAGCAGTTTTCTCTATAAAATCTTGGTTAAATCTAGAGTAGTGGCCCCAAGTCTTATTCTCCTCTCTCTTGGGAGCTCAATAGCAGAGTCCCAGAGATGACCCCAAATATTTCCAAGAGTAAAATGCTTATCACATTTATTTCGGACAAATATGTACCTTCTCTGAAAGCAAGTATTTTCAGAGGGTACTGCCTAGAGGTGTCTCTAGTGAAGAAAAATATTAAGAGGCCATAGGTAAATGTGCTATCATTTGTATTAAAAATCATAAGTTATCTGATAGACAAAAAGCTTGAAAAAGGGACCTGAGACAGTAAAAGACGAAGGGTTCGTGGTTCTGATAAGGTTGGGAAGGGTGGCAACTGGTCATCACTGAAGCCCTTAAGCCCTTTGGGACCCAGCACCCACAGATGTCTGTCAGGGCGCACAGTGGCAGAACTTCTTGTGGAGGGGGTGAGGTGAACAGAGTATCTTCCAATACCAAGCTGAAACCGGTAATTTCGCAAACATCCCAAGAGGTCGGACTATTAAGTCCCCATTTTACAGAGAACAGGCTATCTCTGAGAGGTTAGGTCCCCTGCGCAGTCACTTGGCTGAAAGGTGAGGGAGCGCACCTGATCACCTGATTGCCAGGCCCTGAGGGAACGCTCCAGCCAGGCCCTGGCGCTGGTGCAGTGCAGACCCCCGTCCACCAGTCAGTCGGAGAGGGGGAAGGCCATGGAGTTCGGGTGTGTAGGGAGAAGGCAGAGGTTGGGTGCCCCACAGGCAAACTTGGACAAGCTGGGTCATCCAAGCCCCGGTGATGGTCCTCTTCCTGAGCTCCCCAGGTGTTATCTGGGGTCCTGGAGATCCGCAGAGGCAACAGGATGGGCCCAGAGACCACTGGAGGAAAGGAGAAGTAAGGAGCCTTCAGAACAGAAATGGGAGTAGGGAGAAAGTGAGGAGGGAAGGGCGAAGGGGGAAGGGAGTGGGGAGTCCTTCCTGGGGCAGGAACCCGGCCCCCCTTGGCGGAGCCTGCCCGCAAAGCGATTCTGCAGATGGAAGGAATTAAGTGGAAGGGGGAGGGTCTTAGAGTGATAGCCGGAGGAGAGAGGGAGAAGTACTTGTGTCAGAGAGGGGAGGAGAGGGGGAAACGGACACATCAGCCTAGACGTAAAATCAGAGACAGAGACAGAGAAGGAGGGACAGAGACAGAGACATAGAGAGACAGAGAGAGAGAAGGCGAGACCGACAGAGGGACAAGGGACATTGGCGTTACTAGTTGGAGGGAAGAGAAAGTGTGGGAGAGGAAGGAAGTAGAAAGGAAAAACGCGTACAAATGAACTAATTGCGGATGATTTGGAAAGGAGAGACAGAGCCGACTGCAGAGCGAGAAGAGATTGGAGGCAGACGCAATGCTGAGCCGCGGCGGGCTGCGGGAACTGGGTAGGCCGGGCGGGGGGCGCCCAAGGGCGGGCCAGCACAATACTACATATGTAGATGAGCTCAGTTTTCCCGATGACCGCTCCCCCGCACTCCATATTCAATGAGACAGCCAATGGAGGGCGCGGACGGTGCCAGAAGGGGCGGGGCCT